AGCAGCATGGCAGACTGTGCAAAACTGCAAAATGATAATAATTTATTGTCACGATATTATGAAAAATATTGTATATGGCAAGGAATATCATGATATTTGATAATATCGAATATCGGCCCAAGGCAACTCAGTCTACAGTAATTCATCTATGATTAGTAAATTGTGGAGACTGACTTTCTGACAGATTGTATTTATCAACACACATCTATCTACTCAACTCATGCAAAACTATAGGAGCTTGAACAATAATAAACACCCCTGTCTGTGCAGAAACTTTATATATGACACACATTGTGAAGCAAACTGGGGACATGTTAATTTTATACACTAGCTTGCATGACTGTGTAAAAATATTATTTCATTTGCAATAATACAACTTGCAGTTGTCGAGGTGTGCCGAAACTAATGATTGTTGGGCCATGCTGTAGGCATGCCACCTCCACAGCCTTAGGGTTGAATACAATGAGACTTTCAACATTTTGAGGCATGCATGCCTGGAGGAGAAGTCACAGTGGCCCAGCCATCTCTGGTACTGCCTGAATCAATTTTGAAAGACAGATGTCCGACAATCTACAATGTATTGGATAATGAAGCAAAACTAAAAGTGTAGGTAATTTTTCATTCATTCATTTTCTTCACCAGGGTCATAGTGAGCTGGAGTGTATCCCAACAGGCACTCAGAAGGCCCAGCAACATCATCGACACATAATATTCCATGAGAAGCTGAACATCTCCACACTGGCTGACCTGCATGTGATTAGACTGTGCACTGTGACACAGGATTTTTCTGCTCTGAGGCAACAATGCAAACCACAGAGCTACTCTGGCGTCGCTGCTGGAAGTTCACTAAACATCAAAGAGGTGGTTGACAAAAAGCTGTCTTGAATAGTATCAACTGATGTCATACTGGCAAAACAAAGTTGGGATAAATCTACAACCAAAGGCAGAATAGCAGATCCTCCTGCAGTGGCCTGCTCTGTTTCAAGCCCCATGGATGAGCATGGGGAGAACAGTGTGTGTGTTGTGTGTGTGTGTGTGTGTGTGTGTGTGTGTGTGTGTGTGTGTGTATGTGTGTGCTTGATGCTGAGTGTTTCGACCAGCATGAAGTGAAGAGAGGGGGACAAGTTCAGTTATTACAGGCCAGCTGAGGCACAGAAAGGCACAGGGAAAAACATAAAATAAAATGTACAACCAAAATTTTGTTTGTCTGCTGGCTAAAGATGTCAACTGATGCTGTTGACATCTGAAGGAATTTAAATGGGTTATTTGTAGCCATTTCTAGCAAGGTTTACTCCTGCACTGGTGTCATAACAACAGCAAACTAATAGCAACTTCTAGCTAGGAGGAAATACTGTATTCATGTATTTACCAGAATTTACTCTTTACTGTATTTTGGAGATATTTTATCTAATGACAAATATGGGGGAGAAAAAAAACAATTAAAAACACGTACTCAGAGTGAGACTACTCTATGTAACATTTGATGATCAGCAGCCACTGTTGCTCAAACTGGCAATTACACTATAACGACACATTTTATTAGCTGTGGTCATACTAGACCATGTAAGGCTGAGCGGTAAAGCCCCTCACATCATATTGCTTAAGACTTCAGTGTTTTATATGCTGGTTATTTGTTGCTTTAAGTCAACAACTGCATTAGACTGAAAGCAGAACTACCTCTGGTGCCAAGAAAAACTGCTGTTAAAAATATTAAATAAATAATAATTAACTTTATTTATATAGCACTTTTCAAAACAGTAGTTACAGAGTGCTTCACAATTGGTAATAAAAATGCATAAAACTCAACGATAAAAAATATAATAACAATAAAAAACAATATAGTAAACTAAACAAAATCACAAGATGGATGATACCGAAAGGAATAAATAGCAATCTTGTAAAAACGGCACCCTATTCAAATCCATAAAGTTGGACCTAAAATGGCAAAGCACGGCCTCCCTTTTAGCAGTTGGTCAGACAATCTGAGTGATCTTGGTAGAGAGTAAAGTGTTATAAGAAGAAATATAAGAAGGTGCCATGGTATGGAGGGCTTTGAATATGATCAGTGTGTGATCAAGTGAAATCTGAAACATATGGGAAGCCAGTGAAGTCGGGCCAGAATAGGGGTGATATGCTGTCTTTGTTTGGCGTACTGCGAGTCACAGTAATCCAGGCGAGAGGAAATAAAGGCATGGATGATTTGCTCTCCGACAGTCACACTGAAGATGAAGCTGATGCTCTGGCAATGCAGGGATAATCAATAAGAGGGAAAGAGTAAAGCTGTAACCTGATCAGAGAAACAGAGCTGAAGTGACTGAAGTGACTGAAGTAGCAGTTACAATGTAATAATGTAACTACCAGTTGATGTTGATTCAGAGTCCAGGTTCCTTCTCTGCCACTTCAAGTCCTTGGCATACATACACTATGCATGGCTAAGCTCTCACAGATTTTATTCTTTCTAATAGTGTGGTGTGACTGCAGTCAGTCCTCTCCCTGTGTGCAGTCACCATGGAAGCAGGTGCCCTATATTCCTGAGGGTATCGGCTGACAAGGTCACTGAGCTGATTGATGTTAGCCTCCAGAGTCCTTCCCTGTGTACAGGTTCAACACCAATCTCCATTTCTGAAGTGCTGGAGAGGAGAGCGCCAGCGGGGACGAGAGGAACCAGTAACATCCCCCATGGACCACCTGATCTGTCTTTGCCATGAAGGTGGCACAGTGTTCTGTATTCATTCACTCGTCAGTCCAGGGTGTGACATGAATCTGTGGCCCATGCCACAAAATGTTCTCACAACACAAAACTCCCACAGAGTTTGACTAGTGGTAGTGATTGTGTGTTATCACTGTTTGTCATCAGCACGTGAAATCAGGTCAACGCAGCATTACACCACTGTTCGGCCTAAAACTAGTGCCAGCATGGGGAAAATACTGGGTCACACTATCTCACTTCACTTCATGTCCCCTACTCAATTTAACAGCAGGGCTGCCCACAAAGAAATCACATCTGCTTCATTCGGTCATAGCAGCTATCATTATGCATTATACTTATATACAGAAGGTATACACAAATACAGAACAAAAGGCCGGATTGAAGAATTGTACGTATCCCTCCGCCAACCAAGTTGTAATTTGCATCCATGTCTGCCCAGACTTATGAGATATACGTAGTGAAGAGGGAATTTAATAAAAGGTATTAATTGAATTTTATCAAAATAAGCATGTGGATTTTTGAGTTACAGCCAAACATGTGTTTAGTGAGGTCAGAGTAATGTTGGCAGGCCAGTGCAGGCCAAGGAGCAGCATGTCAGACAGCTAAGATATTCTCATTATTCTAAAGAAAACCAGTAAGGTTTAAGTCTGTTGTGATGAGGTGGATGTAACCTACTTTTTGTTTACTTTGCTGACAGCTATTTAATATTTTGAAATTGCTTGTCATCTTGTTGAAAACTATCTGACTTTTTCATTTGTATTGTTATATCTTTGGCATTAGTGTTTAACTATTAATCATTGTTTTTTATATATCGGTTTATCTCTGGTGTTTATTTATATTTGTATATTTGGTATATATTTTATATTATTGACTTTTATTCATTATTTCATTGTTTTGTTGTTGTAAAGTTTAATCTTGCATAATCTGTTTTTTTATGTGTGTGTGTACTGTTTTAATACTGCTATTTGGGCTACACGTTTCTGTGAAAGGTGCTGTATAAATAAAGCTGAGCTGAGTTGAAATTGCTTGGAATTTGCATCGCTAATTGACATGCCAGGGGCTGGCTGCTTGTTCCACTGACAGACACTGTTGCCCTCACATGCACACTGATTGTTGAAGCAGGTGCAGCCCTGCTTTGGTGTGAACAACACAGAGCCCCACCGCTAGTGTTTTGTTGGCGTATCAAAGCCCACCGTTGCCTGTTCTGCCGATCTCGTGGTTTCTTTTAGTCTCAAGTGTGAGCTAGAAGCATCCACATCGACGGGTTATCCAAGGTAAGGAGAAGAGACATATAAAATCCAGTAGAAAGTATATTTGGAGCTGCACTTCCTTGTCTGTGTGAGCCTATGAACGTCTGTTTTTTTTGTTTTTTTTTTTTACCAAAACCATGCCCTGATGCTTCTTGGCATCAATTAAGAGTTAATGAGATATCATCATGAATTATACAGTGTGAAAAATACTCAGTGTTAATTATGATTTCATGAAAGTGAATATCATCAAGTTGAACCGGTTTTTGTGAAGTTCATGTCAATTATTTTTCATAAGATGTGCTGGTTGCAATGTCTTTCAAAAGGAAAAAAAAATCTGAAGTTTTTTTCCTCAAAGAAACTCTGAAACTATTCTTTTTTCTTTTTCTTTTTTTTTTTTTCTCAACTGATTTTAAAATTTTAAGTAGTTAAATTTGCATTTACTCAGGAGTGGCAGCAGTTTTTTCTTCATATAATGTACTGTCGGTGGTTTTTGACACAACTATTTAATCAGTTTTTGTAATTATATATTATGTGAGTTTAGTGCAGATACAGACCTCAGTTGCAGACGCAGGATGGTGGTGCTAATTGTTTGTGGAAACTCGCCATGAAGAAAGATGATTTCATCATAAAAGTCTCAGCGCTGACAGTTGATTTAGTAGAACTTTGCAATGAAACTCAGCCAGGACATTTTCCAATGTACTATGCTCTAAATCAATACCCATCAGAAATGTGAAATTAAATCGAGATTGAATCCCAGTTTCATCACCAGGTCTGATGCTCGCTGAATTCTATCTTATCAAAGCATCCTAAAACAGAGGAGGGAAGATTTTTTTTTTGTTGTTTTTGTTTTGACTCAAGACTTTGCGTTTACAATGCTTCACCTGTAAAAAAAAAAAAAAAAAAAAAAAAATTGAACATCCAAACAGCAAATAAACCAACACACCATGCTGCTGCAGCTCTGATCTTTTTTGACAATTTGGTTATTTGCTACAACTGAATAGAATCACTGACAGGGCCGGGGAAGCTCATCAGCACCTTACCTTGAACGATGAGATGCACTTTTGTGGATTTTGGTTTCTTGTTTGTGAGGATGGAGCAGACGTAGGGCCCCTCGTCATGGACGTCAACGTTTTGGATCTCGATGCTGTACTCTGTGATGCCTGTGTTCTCCATCAGGATGACACGAGGATCCAGAGACCACTTCTCAGTTCCCGCAAACAGAATGGTGGTGCGATTGAGCCACGCCACTCGTGATACTTTGCTGTCCACGGTGCATCTGGTAGAAAGAGAGAAAGAAAAAAAAAACTAACACAGAGATAAGGACCTATAGCATAACAGTCTGTCTCTGTTAGAGCCCATGATACATTGAACAAAAACATTACTGTGTGCTGTGAGATGTAGAAGTGCTTTTTTTTATTTTGGAATTTTGATGATAAGGCAGTTTAAGTTTAACCACGAAAAGCCACACATGGTCACACTAGAACAATATAATACAATTACCTACAAATGAGTACAGCTCTGGTAAGCTCTTAGCCCGCACTTAAGCTTTGTTGTAAAGGACTCTATAGCTTGACTTAATTTGATTTCAGTTGGTGATGTGTTCAAGAGTTGACAGCGCTTCATGAAGAAAGATGATTGTCTAAATTTAAATCAACAATGGGATATTTTACAATTGCAAACACAAAAGACTTACTGAAGTAGTAAAACAGACATCCAAACAAGGAAGTGAGCCAAACAACTTCCACAAATAAATTCAGGGAAATTCTGAAGGGTAACACAAGGGGCAACTGAACAAAAAGCACTCGGAACCACTGGGGACACAAACTGGCACACAAGGAAATTCTAGACAAAGCTGAAGAGAACTGCACAAGCAAAGCAGACAAACTGACAAAGATACAGCTACTCAACTTAAGAATAAATAAACAGAAGTAGTGATTCAAAGTTGTGACAGTGTAAAATTATTAAACATTATTAATTAATACATCATTAAGTTACTACAATTTGGAGTTAACAGTAGTGAAAACTCTGAGTTGGACAAACTAACAGGGAACCCTGTCTCCTAGAAATTACATTCTTGTTACTAAACTGTTTCCCCATTGGCTCTCAATGGCAAACTTAAGAAATTAATTTGAATTTCCAAACCTTGGAAAACTTAGTTGGAATGCTATGTTTTAATAGTTTGAATTTTTGGCTTTTCTCAACTTTTTCCTTTTTAAAGTGTAGATAGCCATCTGAGAAATGTATGCCTGACTTGTAGGCACCAGCTGATTACAGATGCCTGATCATTCAAATTAAATCAGTCAACATGTTAAAAATATTTCTTTAGACACACAAATGTGTGCATTGCGCAAGGACTTCACTGAACATCAGAATGTGACATGCAACACAGATCATGTGCACACTGGCTTTGCCTTCTACCTCTGATCCCAAGAGCATCAAGAAGCAGGTGGGTTATAAATAGAAAAGTGCACTTTGCCATGCTCCTGTGCTTCATGTTCCATCTGAAGGACATACACGTACATGGCACACATGTACATGTATACCTTAAACTAAGTAATGCATCTGCAAGTGCAAACTTATTAAATTGACTCACACTCTCACTGCTTAATTTTACCTAAAATATATTAACAGCTACTGATGTTTGCCATTTTTAACCAGCAATAGTCATGGTTAGTTTGCTTATTAGTGCTGAGAACAATGCGGACTAAATGTGTTCCAAATTGCATTTTCCCATTATTCCCATATTGTACAAAGTGAGATTTTCATGTCTTTTTTGATTATAAATAAGGTCTTGGTTCTATATTAATACTCTGAAAGTTTCAAAGCAGTCAGTCCACAGAGAAAAGCACAGAGCCTCTATTCAGGAACTGAGTGCTAAAATGAGATGTCAGGACTTCTGTAACTTTGCGATGTCACAACGAAGCCCTCACCACACTCAGCCATGCCCCAAGCCCAGCCGACCCGTACCCACCATCTGACCTTGCAGGATTTGGTTTCTTTTAGTGTTTACCTGAAATCTGCTATATTTTTTTAGGGTCAGAGTTTCTCTTCTGAGTGGCTCACCAACCTGTTGTTACTAGAGCTCCAGAGAAAGGAGATGTAAAACTACATTGTGATGACTTTTGATACTTAAAAGCCCAAATATGTCTTCTTATGGATCAACAATTATAATAAAACACTGGAAAAGTGTGAAGTATGGGACCTTTAATAGATTTGTTAGAAACCTGGAGAGTAAAACTGGGAACTGGATCCAAAATGGAACCAGCTAGTTAGTTAAGTGAAACCAAACCCTACATATTAGCAGTACACTTAGCTTTGTTGTGGAGAAGTGTGTGTTTCTGAAACAGTCTGAGCCCAAGGACCAGTGGTGGTGAAGTGGACTATGATGCAAGAGAGTTTGATGAACTTGAACATATTGATTAGTTTTTCTTTGCTGTGACTCTGGGTTGACAATAGAATGCATAATGAAAAAAATCTTTATTGTTGAAAAATACTCAATCAAATAGTAATATGAATGAATTGAATAATCATAGAATGTGATATAGCGATACATAATTATATACAAAGGTATGTTCAACAATACAAAAAATATATATATTGTTGTACAGATGTACCCTGAATGATTTCTGTTTTTCCGTCTGACAGTGAAATTAGACAGGTAACTGCACATCTGCTGATTTGATGCCAGGTTAAAACAAAAACAACAGCAAAGGCTGTATTAGTCTTTTTCAGCAGGGAAACTACAGAATACAAACTTAATGAAAAAGAAAACCCGACTCAGAATGCACTGCGGTATTTATCCCACTTAACACCAGGATTTGGCAGAACATTTATTGATAGTATCAGTAAAAAAAAATGTAAATTCATTGCAGCTTTGTGTGCCAATACTTTTTTTTTTTTTAATTAATGGATGTTATAAATTTGGCACGAGTTTGCATGAGCCGTGAAAACAGTCTTTTAAAATCCAAAATGCCCTGAAGTTTAAGTCAGCTCACAGATGTGGGAAGATGAATTTAGTGTACAAAGCCTCAGCGTCTGGCTGATTAGTCTGCAGGTCTCAGCACAAGTTATCACACACAGACCATATAGCACATCATCCAGGGAGCTTCACACGCTCAGCAGTGTTTATTCACCCCAGAGTGACACACGGCATTCACAGTAAATAGAGCAAAACAAGAAACTTTAGGTTCAAATATTAACTTGTCCCTAAAAAAAAAAAAAAAAAAAAAAAGAAAAAAAAAAATGTGCAGACTGTGTGGTGCTGAATACATTGAGACTCAGTATCAGCAATCAGAGTGACATAAGGAGCTTGTATATATATATATATATATGATGGGAGGAAAGGGGGCAAATCAAACAGGAGACAAATAGGAAGCTAACATCATCCAAACACAGAGACATATTAAAGGTGGTGGTTGTATTAGGGTGATTTGCCTCTCACAGTATTTGGAAACTTATCATGAAGTCGCAATACGACCATGTAATTCAGAATAATCCCAGTCATTATTTTGTGCTCTCTGTGTACAAACTGTGCTGGTGATGTGTCATGTAACCAAACTGTGTGACCACGAGAACAACGTCTCCCTGTCAACAGAAGCATCTCATCTGACTGAAAAAAAAAAAAAAAAAAAAAAAAAAAAACTTTTCTGTTGTTTGTTAATTTTGTCTTTAACCAAGAAAACTGCGGGACAACCAGTCAATTTAGATGAAGCGACACACCAAGGGAAGAAAATCCACATCAGAAAATCCAGCAAGAGAAGACAGTGCCTTTGAAAAGCTCCATTATTTGCTGGACTTAGACTATCAAGCAGCACCGCTTCGACTGCCTCCCAACAAATACGGAGGATGAACTGTTTATTTTCAAAAGGAACACTGTTTCATAATGTTTCCCTTTAGAGAACTACACTCTCCAAAGAACAAGACTACAAAAGTTACCTTCAACTCGAAGAGAAGGATTATTTATATTTGCAAAGCTTTGAAGGAAATTAAAACTTTAGGTCAAAGCCCCACAAAGCAAATTTTGCAAAAACATGTCTTGAGGAGCCTTAATGGTCTTAAAAGGGGAAGTAAAACATTTAAGGACTAAAGGTCAGCATTGGCCATTAAACTGTGCCATCTTTATTCAAGCCTGAGAATAGTTCACATTTTACTTGGAAGTAAATAGAAAACCTGTGAAGCTCATCAGAGTTCAGGCTGTTAAAAAGGATTAACCATGCAGGAAGATCTGACCAGAGCTGCCAGGTCTGTGTGTTCTCTGCAAAGGGTGGGCTGTTTTGATGGAGAGCGAGATAAAGGGGAAACCTGACATGATGATCTGACAACTTCCAGGCTGAGCTTCACTTTGTTGGCTATAGATCTGCACGAACAATGGCAAATTTGAAGCAGATGGTATTTTTAGACTGAATAATTCAAATATCATATGATTAAAAGATTATTTCTGCAAATAAATTGCATCAGTTAATATTTGATTTTATATTTAGATTTCATGTGTAAGGCATTAACTGACATGTTAACATGAACTTAATAATTATAGTAAATTATGGGGGACATCAGTTCTTTTTTTTAAGAAGAACCAAATTGTCTGTAGAAGATTATAAAAATAATCAAGCAGCAGCAGTCACCTTTCGATCTCAGTGGTTTCAAGTCAATTGCAAGGCAGTGCTGTTAAAAGGTAACTTGTTCATTTTCACCCCTCACAAACCTCTCCTAGAAGAGTAAGTTGTTTCTTCAGCTGATCACTTTTATATAACAGGGATACTGATAGGAATGGTGCAAGCACTAATAGTGCAAGCAGAAGCAAGTTAAAAAAAATAAAAAATAAAAAAATAACTCTATTATTTTATCTTTTTTTGTCATGCCACAACATGACCAAGGATTAGTTTGTTAGTGAATGTTGTGCAGCACTGTGACACAGGCAGACGAGCTCAAGACTATAGATTCACTCAGGTGAATGAAAGGTGAGGTTAGAAGACAGCTCACAGCAGGAGAAAATTGTATTGTGTTCATTTATAAAATCTATTTTATTCACATTTTTAATATTAATTTGTAATTAAAATGTAAAATATCACTTGAAACAAGAAAATTAATTTGGTAAAAGTCCTTTTAAACAAATTATATGAGCCAATACTGAAAAAAGCATGTTCTGCAGAGTCATCTCCTCATGTGTGTACAAACATGTCAACATGAGGCTCCACACAGAAAGACAGGGAGAGGACACCTGCACACACATACCCACACCACTGTATATCTATATACTCATGTTAAACTAAACCTATG